GTGAGTGGATTGACAATTGAAATCACTTTTTTGATGCGATATATTTTTGTTTAAACCAAAGATATATCAGCTATGTAGTGTTTTATCCTGATTTGCTTGGTTGAAAAGTCGTGCCAGTGGTGCTGCCATCTGATTCTTTATTATTAGCCTGCTGGCACTTCTGAATAACAACAACTTCATGTTATTATGATTGTTTGTTATAATATGTGCAATAAGTACTTAGTTTATCAAACTGCTAAATCTTAAATAGACATTTACTTTATGAGTGCGATTAAAGTACAAGACTGTAAAAGATGATTGTTCGATTTGAATGCAACTGCTAGAATTGAATGTTTGTATTTATATTTTCATACATGCAAAATTCTAAATGTAGAGTTTAGTATTGAATCTTTCTTTCATTTTGAAAAAGTTCATCTACACTGTCTCTGGGAAGGATGAGGGGGTAAATATGATACTATGGAAAAATTTGTACACTTGCCCTGCAAACAGCTGTTGATTTGCCTCAGTAAGAATGACAATCCTCCACCTTCACTTTTCCATCATCCTTCCAAAGTCAAATGACTTATTGCCTCATTGCTATATATATATCATACACATTTGAAGCGATGTATTTGTCCTGTTAATGTTCATGAACTGCACAAATCAATCACCTGAAATTCTAAACTTGTGATGTTACTGTAGCTATTTTCTGCAAATCTAGATAGTCTTAGTCAATGTGGATGGAAGGTCAAAGGTTAGCAGATTCTTGGCTTGACTGAACCACAATCGTCTTGTATTGGCTTTGAACGAGCTCTTCTGAATGATATGTTGTGCATTAATAAGTATTTTTTTCTTTGAGTCTGGCCTTTATTTTAATCACTAACTTAAAAAAAATTACTTGAATCGTCGCATTACTTATTTTACATGAACGTTAGCTTAAACTAAAATATAAAGAACAATAAATGTAACAAATTATATATTTTTTTATATTATAAAATTACATTTCATTTTACTTTCTGCAGTCTAAGATAAAAATCAGACATTATTTTAGTTAAACTAAAACTTAAGAAAACTGCTTATATAAAATAAGTATTTAGCTTAAAATAAAATTTAAAAAACAAATATTTATCTATATACTTATATTTTTTAATATTTGAAAATATTTAAACTTAAAACATTTCAGATTTTATTTCAACATTTAACATGTTTAACAATGTACTAAACTAAAACTAAAATCAACTATATTTGAAAAAAATCTGATTAAAAATGACAAAATCCAAAATTTGAAATAAAATTAAAATGAAAACCGCAAATCTAAAATAATCATAAAACTATAATATTACTCCAATGATACTAACATAGTAGTCTTAGTGAATACTGTCACTGTCAATTTACTGTCACTTTTGATCAATTTAATGCATTCTTGCTGAATTTCAAATAACACTTGAACCATTAAAACACCAAGAAACTTGCTAGTTTTTTTATTGTCATGATATGATACTAATACAGAACAAAATATGAAGAAAGTGTGTCACATGACATGCATACTGTCTGGTAACTGGATCAGTACACACAAGCATGATCCATTACATCTATTTTTGGCAGATGCCAAATGAACACAAGGGTATTTCACATTCCCACAACAGAATCCATCATCATTATTGTGTTTCTCTGTGCTGATTGGCCGAGGTGGTTGTGAGGTCTCACCGTGGCTATTTAGTGTGATAATGGCGTTTGACAACACAGGATACAAACACCATTGTCACACTCCACAGCTCAGGAGGATGGTCTAGAAAGACAGGAGAGAAAGTGACATAGCCTTGTTTTTGCTAATAGTAAAAGTAAATAGCAATATTTTTTTCACCTATGATAGCTGAACTTTTATCTAACCCCTCAGAATGAACCTATGAACAGAAACTTGCACTTCAATGAACAAGGCCTGCAAATGTCTTTGGTTCAGCAGCTGGCTCTCGCTCTGGTCATGTGCAAATGTTATCGATTATGGTCTTGTGTTTGCACGTCTGTCAGTGGAGTGGATAGTGACGGGAACCGTGCAGATGGTCTCTTCTAAATGATCAGTTATGCCTTAGATCAGGAATCTTCAACAGAGGGTCCCTCCCGTTATTGAGCTCAAACATATTTTAGTGAAAATAAAAAGTAACCAAAAACACAACTACATATGTTAGTTTAGATAAACATTTCAGTTGTTAATTCAATATGGGATTTTAATGTCATGTACAAGTATATGACTGCAATGTCATGAAGTATGTAAATATATTATCTTCAACAGAGGGTCCTCCCGTTATTGAGCTCAAACATATTTTAGTGAAAATAAAAAGTAACCAAAAACACAACTATATATGTTAGTTTAGATAAACATTTCAGTTGTTAATTCAATATGGGATTTTAATGTCATGTACAAGTATATGACTGCAATGTCATGAAGTATGTAAATATATTAATGTGGTACTTTTTAATGTGGCACCTTAAGGAAGGTCAGGCTTAACTTTTTTAAGGGTCGGTACAACTTTTAAAAAATATTTTTTAAATAGTAAAATATTATTCAAGTTTAAAATAACCGTTTTCTATTTTAATATATTGTAAAATGTAATTTATTCCTGTGATGCAAAGCTGAATTTTCAGCATCATTGCTCCAGTTTTCAGTGTCACGTGATCCTTCAGAAATCATTCTAATATGCTGAAACATTTTCAATGTTGAAAACAGTTGATATTTCGTGGAAGCGTGATACTTTTGTCTCAGGATTTTTGATGAATAAAGTTAAAAAGAACAGCATTTATTTGAAATCAAAATCTTTTGTAACATTATATATGTTTTTACTCCTGGATTAACTAAAACTATAAAAACATTTCTGTTGCTTGTAATAAAATGTTGACTTAACATTAACTTAACATGAAATATAAGACTTTGAGTTAGTTGCCAAGGCAACATTTCTCATTTTCATTTAGTTTAACTTGTACTACAATAAGTAAAACTGGAACTAAAATTTAAATGAAAACGGAAAATATAAAAACTAGCCTACTTCAAAATATTCATAAAACCATATCAGTATTTCATTACTACAATAGCTCCGCTTTACTGTCACTTTTGATCAATTTAATGCATGCTTGCTGAAAAAAGTATTAACTTAATTTTTTTTTTCATGAAGAGGTCCATGGACAGAATGGTTTGGTCTTGAACTCTATTTGTTTGAAGCTACTGATGGACACTTGATAATATATATATATATATATATATATTTTTTTTACCATATATCCATTCTCAAGTCTTTAAGTTAACTTACCACAGACTCTGTTCAGTAAAGATGGCTGATCCTCATGACCCTCCATACTGTAGGAATAGTGAGAGCACTGAAAAAGAAACACTTCACAAAACACAATTTACTTTATAAAACACTCACACACACATCGTCTCTCCCAGTGATCCAGTCTGCAAGAAAATGAGAAACAAGTCCAGTCTATGTCATGACTGGTCATTCTACTCTCCTTTAACCTCCATATATGTACCTACAGAGGGTTTAGTCAAACAGTTTTGTGATAAGCTTGGAGAAGTATTGATCCAGCATGACGTGGGGACGGGGTCACTCACCCAAAACCTGGGAGTGCTTCAGAAAAAAGACCTTTGAAAGCACCATTTCCTCTTAACACACTAACCGTTTTAATGAACCTATAACACCTGCAACCATGAGAATAATCATTTAAGACACCTGTGAGAAATAAATAAGGGTCAGACCACCCGATATGCCTCTTTAAACATGGAATCAGTGATTAAAATATTTAATATAGCCACTCTAGATTTTTTTTTCAGAAGCATGAAAAGGTTCCTACTGTACTGAAACTACAGGCCAGCCTAAAGCTTATTCCATTCAATTTCACAAATCGCTCACCTAATCATACCTAATTTCCAAGAAGTGTTGACAGACATACTACCAGTTTGTAGTGAAGCAGTTTCCGCTACTGGAGCTCATTCGGTGTGTCCCGGGCTCTGATGTGATGTTGGAGCTGCAGGTGAGTTTGGCGTTGGACTTGTTTGTGATTGCAGAAAGAGAGCACTTGATAAAGTGTACAGGCCGCTTTTATTTGCTTGTCCTTGGATCTGATAGCCGTCTGATTGCACGTGTGAATGAACGGAGTTTCCTTCACCGCTCAGCAGAGCCTCACACCACGTGTTCAGCAACATTCATGTAAAAATGAACATGATTTGACACAGTCCAACTGTGCTGCATCAACTGTCCGGCAAACAAATACATACGTTTTTGAAATATAATGCATATTAATCATCATTTTGTTTAGTGAATAATATAAGAACATTTACGTGTTAAATAATATGCTGTTACTATAGCAATAACAAATGTATATATAAAGTAACATTTTAAAAACTTATTTTGGCTTGTCAAAAAAAAAAATTTGCAAAAATGATAATATTTTTGCACATTAAAATTATTTATAATTTACATGAAAATATATATGATATAAAAAATAAATCACATTAAATTTATATTCCTAAGATTAAATAAAGTGCCTTCTGCTATTTTCAAAGTTTTCATAATTATGCTGTCAAAAAAAATGTAATAAACAACTTATTCAGCAAAGACACAATAAATTGATCAAAAGTGACAGTAAAGATATAAAGATTTCTTTTTTTTTTTTAATAACTGAACAATAAATAAAAAAACCGGTTCATTTATTTTAAAGAACTTTGTCTTCATCAAAGAATCATGTTTTCCCCCCCCAACAAAACAATTTAACGGCACAACTGTTTTCAATATTGATAAGTAATATTTCTTGAGGAGCAAATCAGCATATTACAATGATTTCTGAAGGATCATGTGATGCTGAAAATTCAGCTTTGCTTCACAGGAATAAATCATTTAAAATATATTCAAATACAAAACTGTTCTTTCAAGTTGTAATAATATTTCACAATATTACTGTTTTTATTACTTTTTTTGATCAAATCAATGCAGCCTTGGTAAGCATAAGAAACTTAAAAAAAAAACCCCCCCCTTTTTTTTTTTTTAAATCTTACCACCCCAAACTTTTGTGTGTGTGTGTGTGTGTGTATATATATATATTAAGTACTAATATATGTATACACTGCTGTTCAAAAGTTTGGGATCAGAAAGATTTTTACGTGTTTTAAAGAAGTCTCTTCTGTTCACCAAGGCTGCATTTATTTAACCAAAAATACAGAAAAAACAGCAATATTGTTATATATTATTACCATTTAAAATAATGGTTTTCTATTTTAATATACTTTAAAATATTATTTATTTCTGTCATGCAAATCTGAATTTTCATCAGCCATTCCATCAACAGTCTTCGGTGTCACATGATCTTTCAGAAATCATTCTAACATGCTGATTTATCAATATTGGAAACCATTTTGCTGCTTAATATTTTTTTTTAGAACCTGTGATACCTTTTTTCAAGGTTTATTTGATGAATGAAAGTTAAAAAGAACAGCATTTATTTGAAATAAAAATCTTTATCACTTTTGATCAATTTAACACATCCTTGTTAAATTGCATTTATTTATTTAAAAAAAAAATGTATATATTACATTTTTTTACTAATATTACTAATCTATAGTAATATATATTATATTACTGACCCCAAACTTTTGAACAGTAGTGTATATTGTTACAAAAGATTTCAATTTTAAATGCTGTTCTTTTTAACTTTTTAGCGTTGAAACGCCAGAACATGTAAAATTGCATATCTGTAAAAACAAAACCCCCCACAATAAAGCAAAATTCTCTGTCCTCTTGTTTGCTTTTCCTTCGACTTCGGACAATCCAGTAAATGACTGAACAAACTTTATCTCAACCTCTCAACCTCCAGCTTAAACTGAAACCTAGAACAGACATGTATTTACAAACCCGATTGCCAACACTTACAGAAGTAGAAATACCATGAATGTGTTTACCTTGAAATCAATCAATCCAAACCCATCTGATACCATTTTAAGTCTTATTTAGTTGATTTCCTGTCATTTATGCTTATGCAAGATAATGAAGTGTTTCTAGTGTCAACTAGCCAAACATTAAGACTCTTTGGCTAAATCAGTAATACGACAGCACACCTAAATTCCATTTATCAGTTTATTTTGAACCAAGTTATACGAATCGCAAGGTCCTGTTGCGAGCAGGAACCAGACAGTAAATGTTCCTCATCAATAAAAAAAAGAACTGTCCCTACAAAAGAGGAAGGGTAATTTATAACAATAACAATAATCATAATATTATCACAAACCTACAGAGGCCCGAAAAGTGTGAGTGGGGAGGCGTACAGATAAAAGACTGGAAAAGAAAATAGAAAAAGAACCAGTTTGAAGTCTTACTCCAGGCGGAGCTCGTTCCTACAGAGCTGATCCAGATTCACACTGAAGAACCAGACTGACTCCAGATCAGCTGTAGGGATGAGCTGTGATCTGATATGTTAGCAGCAGGCCGATTATAAACAAGAGATATTGCACCAAGGAACTGAGTGCTTTTAAAACAACAAAATAGATTCAAGTTCAGAAAAGAAAAAAAAAAAAACAGGTGACATGACCCTAGTGTGTGATCAATAAAGTGCCCTTTTAGGTACAGTGGTGTTAGAAGAAACAAGATAGACCGAAAGAAAGAAAGTTTACATCCTGAAAGTCTACAAGACTTGCAGTGTTGAATCACAGCGCTTTTAAGATAGCTTCACTCTGTCGCTCTTTAATACTTCAAACAGATTTAACACGTACAGTAAAAGTCCAATCGCATCTTTCCCCGAAAACAAACTAATTTACAGCATTATGAACAGGTAGAATCATAATAAACATAAGAACAATACTTATTACAATTGAAGAAAACCCTCTCAGACAAACTCATTTACATGTCCGATGCATGTCGATGTTTCAATCTTTGCTCTCAACCAAGAAGGAGAATAGCTTTAGAATTACTACGTGATCATATTGAAACACAAGATACATGTTCATGCCAGTTTTCATAGCAATACAATAATCATGTTGATCATTTTTTTGTTCGTTTTTAATTTTTTTTCACTTTTTTTTTTACCCACAATTATATGGATATTGAATTGAATATAGCCAGGCCACTGATGCATTTCCGATAACGCTGTTTAAAATAGTAAACCACATTGTTAGTACAAATATCCGTTTACTCGGTAAGAATGATAACAGTATCATAATAACAGCGATAATAATAAACTATAAAAAACAATTCCCGTTGCTTCTTGGCGTTGCAAAAGAAGATAAAAAAAAATCTTCGACGAAGTAAGGAAGGAAGGGAAAAATTGGCGTACTTTGCGGGATAAGGGAGGATGAGGATTCATCCTGGCTGTGATTCCTAAGGTTATCTGGTGTTAGTAAGACCTGATAAGACAGTTAATTGTTGCCTCTTCACTGAACTTATCTTATGTTTGTGAAATTAATACGGAAATGGGATTTTTTTTAATGCTGTATCAAGGCCACGCCCACTCTGAGGCCACACCCAAATACTGATATTTCTTATTTACCATCAATATAAAAGTTACCACGACCTCAGAGCTGGATTTGAAAATAAAACGTGTTAGGAGACCGCATGATTTGTGGGATACTGCAGATAACGCCAGTTTATCGTTAAAACGGTTTGGCGTTAAAACGGGTTCACAGCCAATGCCGTTCCAGCTAGACAGATTACATGCATATACTGTGCTGACATCACACACCTGCAACCGCTGGGATCTGGCTGTACAATGGCAACTCGAGTGTGTGTATATGTAAGTATAGACGTGTGTGTGTGTGTGTGTGAGTGTTGTACATGTCTTTGCTCGTCGGTTGCGTTAGGAGATCGCGTGGATATAAAGGGAGGGATTTCTTTAGTCGACGCCCTCGAAGCCTTGAGCGTTTTCCACCGCCATCAGAAGCTTCTCTCGCAGGTCTTCAAACGACTCGTACGTCGGGAGGTCCAGACGATTAAAGCTGCATTGGGAGAAAACATATTATCATTGAGGTAAATTAGATGCAAAAATTTGATTGTTTTTATATTTGAAGAGAGTTTTTGGCATTTGGTATATTTCGGTATTTTCCCAAAATAACGCAAAAGCAAAAGCAAAAGCAAAAGCAAAGCAAAGCAAAGCAAAGCAAAGCAAAGCAAAGCAAAAATAAAATAAAAAATAATCCCTTCTCCGGGAGATGAAGGGAACATACATAGATGTTGAGTAAATAAAGCGGTCAAATCCCTCATACCAGGTATGAGCACGAGGGAGTTTGTCAGGTGTCCCCCACTGCTCGATAGTAAACAACTGCGGCCCATTGGAACCTGCAAAAGATCACGTGACTTGTCAAGGACCAATTAGGAATGGAGCCAATTCATTATACAAGTCTCAAAGGGAAACGCTAAGATCTGAAAACAGAGAAAGCTGCTACAAACACGTTAAATCGTCAAGAGAAATGATAGTACAATTCTACTGCAACGCCAGCGACATTTTCTGAAAAACATACGTACATTTACAAAATAGCACACACATACACACATATATGTATTGTATTATATTGTATAATATTTATATTATATTATATGTGGCACAGTAGAGCATTATTTACCGTAGAGTTCAGCAAAGCCGTTCATTGGCACTCTGGATGTTCCAGTGACAAACTGCAAAAGTCTGATCCGCTTTTCAGCATCCATTAACAACACGGCCTGAGCAGAGATGGAGAGAGACATAGTTAATACCAATAACTTTCATCTGTTTATACTAGCAGTAAGGAAAACATTTTCCAGGAAATGAGTTCTCAAAGCAACCATGTAAGGGAACAAAGGTAGTTTTTCTCTCGAAATAAATACCCTTAGAATTCCATTCAAATAAGCATCAGTAGAAAAACTCCACTTAAAGCTGATCTACTCAATGTGCAAGTTGACTGCATTAGGATATGGTTGCTTGATTGTTAGAAAATATTCATATTCTATATCTAAATGTATTAATCACATCTAAATCTATTAAAAAATATTGAGTTCTGTATGACTTTTTTTAGTGTTTGGCATTTTTTCCATATTTTTATTCACAGAAACAGTTGTGAAAGCACATGAATTTATGGGGATGAGAGGAGGGAAGAGGATCAGAAAATAGGTCTCTACTCTCTAGATGTGCAGCTCTGATCTGACAGATTTACTTTACAGCTAAAGAAATTTGTGCCTAATTTCACACATACTTGAAATCAAGTTTCAAATATAACACATTTGCTGCATATATGCATTGGAGAGTAAATCTGTATGTATGTTCGTGTGTGTGCGTGTGTGTTTGTAGAAAGAGCAAGTCTGGCTCCAGACTGCTGATAAGAAGTTCATAATGCGCTCCATGACTCTTTCATCAGAGTAAACACTCGATGAGCCTCACATCAAACAGACTTTGATCGGTAACTGCGCTGCCTAATATTTTTTTGTGAAAACAATAGTACATTTCGATCTTTTGTAACATTTTAAATGTCTTTAGTGACACTTTTGAGGGTCCTTGCTAAGTAAAAGTAATAATTAAAATTAAAAAAAATAATTCAAATAAAAAAAAATTCATACTGACCCTTAACTTTTTAACAGTTGTTTGTGTGCGTGCATGTGTTTATGTGTATATATAATAACTCCTGTATAATATGGTGTATACTATATAGTACCCCAAATGTTTCATATACTTAAAAGTACATTATTTTATTTTATTATTTTCTTTATTTGAAAATAGGAATAAGAGAATTGCTAAACTATAAATCAGGTATTAGAACAAAAAAATAAAACACTTCACATCGTAAAAATCATGCAGATGATACATTGCAGTATAAATAGTACAGCAGCAGAACCTCTACTGGCTGACATTTATACCATAATATATACTGCACAGTCTGTCTTTATTAGTTTATTATTATTTGCCACAATGACGGGTTTAAGTGTGGCTTTCCCCCACTATGCAAAAAACAACCTGAACAGAAATGCATTGCTGTGTGCTCATGTGAGAAGAGCCAATTCATTCAACAAAATACAGGCTTTTTTTAATACATATATATATATATAATTCTATGAAAGTCTTGGACATGGAGGATTCAGTCTCCATGACAACAACAGACACCGAGTAATACTATGTGGTAAGTTGTTACCTCCAGTTCATTTTCATCAAAAATCTTTATCAAGTCAATGGGAATGAGTTCGGTGAAGCCCTGCGAAACAGATATGTGAAACATGATCAAATCATTGCATGTCAATATAGCATGTTTAGCTATAAGGAATTATCTAACTTCTGCTACCACCTAGTAGCAATAGCTGGAACTACAGAGAACTTTTTATTGTGTGGGGGATTTGATCATGTACCTCCAAAAAGGCGTTCATCTGTTTCTGGACCCGGTTCACAAACCGCCACTGAATCACCAGGCTGTGCAGAAAAAACAACAACAAAAAAACAAAGATTTTGTTGGTATAAGATGCTATATGTAGTAATTTACAAGTAGAGCAAGAGAGCAACTCACTCTATGTATTCTTTTTTGTTGTCATTGGTTACAACCATGTCTGATCCGCTTGGCTTTAAATCCACCTGATATGTCTATAAATATAAAACATTTTACAATTACATTTTCTCATTTAAAATGACTCACACTTCAACAAAAACATACATTTAGACACATAATGGTGTTACCTGTCCAAAGTTGTCCTCATCAATGCAGAACCGCAAGTCCAGTTCTGTGGGGTCGTTTTCCAGAATCCACTTGAGAGAGTTGTAGTATTCACTGTCCTACATGGTGTACATAAATGTAAAACAGAAATGAGGAAAAATGAGAAAAGTATACACAATATTAGACACACTAACTTCAAATCAATGCCTTTAAACAACAATGTTTTATGAGGTTTCTGAGTTAGGTTAGGTATATCTTAAAATTGGTGTGTGTGTGTGTGTATGTCTGTGTGTGTTAACGCACCACTGACTCCATATCATTCAGTGTGATCTGTTTGACCAGCATCATTTTATAGAACGGTCTGATGAAGAAACCTGCAAAAAAACAAGAATGCATTTCTGTTTGTAACAGGGAAAAGCAACTACAAGTCAAACCTCCAAAAAAAAAAAAACAATTATGAAAGGTGAACTATAAAATAGAGAAAGTGTCACATGAAAAAGCTTCTGATCGGCTCTTAAATAACAGGCTTATGTACCGTCTAACAGCTTTCCGTGATACACAGCCATGCCAGCCACCCGACCGATGAACTTGAAGTATGAGAGGTGATCCTCATTACAGAGGCCAGAGTTTGGATTGATCTGAAGGGTGTAGTTATCTCTGCAGACAGACAGAAGGGAGACGTTAAATGAATGAATTATGATGCCAGCTCTGCTGTGTCCTCTAATGAGTGTCAGTGGGGGAGATAACAAGATAAGAGACCAGCTCTGTAACACAGTAAATGCTTTCTTTCTTTCAGAACAACAATACAGACAGACAGACAGACAGATATATATAGACAGAGAGACAGATATATTTATAGACAGACAGACAGATATTTATAGACTGACAGATATATAGACAGAGAAATAGACATACACACAGACTAATATATACAGTGGTGTGAAAAAGTGTTGGCCCCCTTCCTGATTTCTTTTTTTTTTTCATGTTTGTCACACTTTCATGTTTCAGATCATCAAACAAATTTAAATATTAGTAAAAGATAACACAAGTGAACACAAAATGCAGTTTTTAAATTAAGGTTTTTATTATTAAGGGAAAACAAAATCCAAATATATATATATATATATATATATAGGCACACATGTAAATATATAGATAGGAAGACAGACATATGGATATAGATAGATAAATAAAGATAGACAAAAAATCTAACAGATTGACATAGGCAGATAGACAGATAAAAAACAACAACAAAATAAACAGATTATAAAATAAAATTATGTGACACAATAAAAAAAAATCTCGATGAGCAAAAAATAGAGATGCCTGCTCACAGCTAAATCATGTCACAACTACAAAACACCATTAAAACTGAACTAAGAATTGCAAAGGAAGCTAGTAAGTCTCAGGGCTCCAGACAATAAAATCGAGTAAGGAGCCATTGGCTCCTATAAGAAAAAAAACTTA